ATTACTTTGAGTTTAGAAATCTTTTGTACTGTGTGGCTTTTCTCCTATGGAGATATTTAAATACCAGGTGGGGATATGATTGCAATTTTCATGCTGATTCAAGGAATTTTCTTCAAGACCTTGCTCATTTTCAGGGTCCTCTGTCTCCTGTATCCTGTTCCAAAGAGGAGGAGCAGACCTGCCGTGTATAATAGGCTCAGTAACGACTGCTGCATCCAGTCGGGAGCTTGTTGCTACCTGGTTCTACTCAAAGCTTAAGAGTTCTTTCCTGTGCAACTGAAGATTATAGTCTTAGTCTTAGAAATCTAAGAGCACAGTCTAAGCATTGTGTGCTTTTAGATTTATAATTCTATCTATGCTGGCACAGTGTTCAACAGCTACAGCTTTGCAGAAGGTTGGGATGTTTTTTAATGCCGCAGTGCTACTGTGTTTCTTTACCATTCATCCACTCTCCGTATAATTTGCAAATTCTATTGCCAACAGCTCTGTTTGGTTGCTGCCCAGAAATTGTAAGGATCAAGCCTGCTAGAGCATTTTAGAACAGTTGGGGGGGGGAAGGAAGAAGCTGTTTGAGGATTTCTTCACCCTTAGTTTTCAGATCAGTCAGTAGCATTCAATGTTATAACATAGTAAATGAGTTAAGAATAAGTTAACTTCTCTTTTAATCCAAATATATTTTAGATATATTTCCTTTCATGTCTTGTACTTTCTCCTAGAAGTCTACTAGATGATAATGGCTATAGGAAACCTTAGATTTCCCCCTCTCACCTATCCCAAATGAGTTTCAAAATGTTTCATATTTACTGAGATATGTAAGTATCGCATCATGTAGATACTACTGGTGTTGTCTCAGAGGAAAATTCTCCCTCCTTTTTGTGTATAGTAGGAAAAATGGAACAACTAGATTTTTCAGCTATTGCATTTTTCTTGTGCTGATATGGTGCTTCCTTTGCACAAGAGATACTGATCTTGCACATAAAAGTAAGAGCATCATGGCAAATGCGATTCAGATCCGTGGTATTAGTCATAGGGTCATAGAATGGTTTGGGTTGGAAAGGACGTTAAAGCTCATCCAGTTCCAACCCTTGCCATGGGCAGCAACACCTTCCACTAGACCAGGTTGCTCCAAGCCCTGTCTGACCTGGCCTTGAACACTGGCCACCCTATAGTTCATTGTTTCTGATGTGCTTAGAATGTCTACTTTTCTTTGTAATCACTGTAATTGTAAAGGGCAGAAGATTCCCCCCCCAGCCCAGTTAAATAATTGCAGTAACACTAGCAAAGCTGTGTTTTATACTGCAAAGCTGAAGCAGGAGTTTCTGGCCCTTCCTGCGTGCTCTGCAGTGAGCATTCATGCTTGTTATAAATTTTAGGAAGCCTGCTCAAGGAGAACCACTGGTTGCCAGTTAAATTGGTGTTACAGTGGAGCAGGAAGTATGTTGTGAGAAGAAAGTGGTAAGGATGAGCAAAATCAGTGCTGATAGTGAGGACAGCGGCAGTAGAGTATTGCTGCCATCTGGTGCTCAAATGAAAATTGCCAACTATGAACTCTAAAGTTAATTTCTGTTCCTTATTGCTTCTATTACATTTGTGTTCAGATCAGTCCCAGGATTCTCAAGTGGCTCAAGATTCACCAGTTCTTGCTGCTGAAGTTGGAGAGGGAGCTACAGCACAATCTGGACCATCGTTCAGACTTGATAATATGGTCAGTCATATCAAAATAATCGTATAATATAACTTGCTCCCTACTTTGTGATAAAATCTATGTCTCATATTGGGGAGATAAGACTGGGTACAGTATTCTAGAGGCAGCCAGAATGACAAAACACCAAGTGGAAAGGTGTAATCACTGCATTGGATCTACCACCCACTGTATTCCTGTTCCTACAGCACAGGATGCTGTTACCCTCTTTGCTGCCAGGGCACACCAGGGGCTTATGCTCAGCTTGCTGTCTGCCAAGACTCCTGGGTCCTGTTTCAAGGGCTGGTCCCCAGGCAGGCCCAAGCTTGGCTTGGTGTGTGTGGTTCTTTCTTCCTAGATGCTGGACTTTGCATTGCTCTCACTGGGTTTCAAAACATTCTTGCAGCGCCAGGCTCATGAAGTCCTCCTAGATGTCATCCCTGCCAGTTAGCATGCCAGATGGTTCTCCCAGCTTAGTGTTATCTGCAAACCTGATAAAACCATGGTGTCCTTCTCTGGGTCATGCTGTCCTCTTGGTCATGTCCAAAGGTGTCAAAGAGGACAGGTCTTAGGACAGAGCCCTGTCGTACTGTTCCCCACCTCCAGGTGGAGTGTAATGCTTTAATCACCATCCTCTGAGCCTGACCCTCCATCCATCCAGGCTGTGACATCCAAACTGTGATAAAAGAATGTTGTGAGAGACAGTGTCAAAAGCCTTGCCAAAATCGATGCCAGTGATACCCCCTGCTCTTCCTTCACCAAAGATCCCACTGTTTTGTCAGGAGATAAAAATAGTATTAAAAAATGCTATGTATATATGAAATTACTTTTAAATGTACATGGTTTATATGTGTGTGGTAAACATATAAGGTGGTATATAATGAAATTGTAGGGGAAGGGTTTCTTAAATTTTTGTCTTGTGTTTTCTCAGTGCACATTTTAGTTAAGAGTTTCGAAGAATTATTCACATCTAACCCTCATTCTCTGTTCTGTGACTTTGTAGAGCTTACCTCAAAATTAAAGAAGAGAATGTTCTAGGATATTTTGTATATTTTAGTTTACTTTCTTAAATTATATTTTTAAGTCAATCTCCTGCATGTAGAAGGCTCAGTATTGCAAGTACATGTAAAGCTCTTGAGTTTTTCCATGTATTGCGTATGTGTCCCTCTGAGATCTACAATCCGACTGAAGTAGGTCTGTGATGAGAAATAGCCAAATCTGACCACCAGAAGATAAAAAAGTCTTCAGGTGTCATGATTTGTATGTAGCTCTGAGAGGCTTTATAACCTTGTGTGTGTGTGTGTGTGTGTGTGTGTGTGTGCAAATGAGTGTGTTGAAGGGAAGGGACTGTTGGGGAGTGATGTGTCTGTGACATGGGGTGTGAATGGTTTGTACTGAGCTATGATGAACCTGTATTTGCCTGACTGTGCAGAACATGAGGGCTTCTACACTTGAACTGAGCTCAGGATAAAATACCTGGTTTAAAAGCTTTAATTATGGACTTCTGAACTCATGGTAATAGGTGTGTTTATTCATCCTAGGAAGCACTTTCTAAAGTAGGATCCACAGACTTGGGTTCAGAGGCATTAATGCAAGAAATACCCTGTGACTTATCGTCAACTATTTCCACCGGAAGCTTTCTGACTAGTGAAGTGTTGGATGTAAACCCTGTTGACTCTGGTAAGCGTTTGGCTTTTGTTCTTCTAAAAGGAAATGTAAGTGTTGTCTTTATTTTACAGCAGAATGGCTCTAACTCACTGGGTAGAAGTTCTTCTGAAATAAACTGATACGGAGCTTCACTTAAGAATGATTAATACTTCTCACAGTTGAGTGTAACTAGAAGGCTCCATTATGTGCTCATGATTTTTTCACTTTTATAATAACCTTACTACATCTGCTCTGGCAAAGGATATTTGGGATTTCATGAAGCAACTGTAACACCAGCAGGTTTCAAGTGGCAAGGTATTAAAACAACCTGATCCCCAAATGATACACTGATGAAAGTTTTCTAATCAGTATGTCAGTGGTACAGAGCTGTGAGTGTTGTCTTGCTGTGAAGAGCATTGTTCCAATATCTGCTTGTCACAGTAGGAGTTCTTCATAACTTATCTGTGAAAATGTTATTTGAATGCCATATTAACTTGTAATAGTTTTCTGGGAAATATGTGTGCACATCCTCCTTGCAGTCTGCCTCTTCATCTTGTTAGTCATAACATTAAAAACAACTCCTTTATAATACATACATAGTTGCTCCTCTATTCCATGTTTATACATCAAAGACTACATTTTTTACAGCCTGAGATTTCAGCAGCTCATCTTAACCCTAATGTTCTAAACTGGCATTATTTTGAGTATTAAACTTCATAACTCAGGTAACAAATCTGGGCTTTATTGACATAAGGGTAAAGCAAATCCTGAGATCATTTGCTTGTAGACTTTTTTTCTGTTGTTGTTTAGTTTTGGAAGAAAAATACCAACAGTTTCATACTCAGTTGCGTGAATGAGTTTTTCAAGTCTGGCTATGTCTGCACCCTGCACTCAGTGCTTAGCAGTGACCTTTCCTAAGAGCTTTGAGCAATTCTTCTGTAAGCACAGAGGCAAAGAGGGGTGGGTGCACTAACCAGAAACACCATTTTGATTGCCTTGATTCCCTCCTGTTTCTTGTGTTGGTATTAGGCAGTTTCTGTTTAAGCATGTATAAAATGGCTACATGATGCCATAATGATGGTCAAGATCACATTATATATCATCATATCTATATGCAGTAGGAGGTAAGAATATGCTAGTTAGCATGAAACTTCTGTATTAATTCTTTTCTGATTTTTCTGTTTCAGTACTTCGTAAGTCTACATAGCCTAAAAGTGCTAAGCTGGGCTGACTACTACCTAACTAGATAGTGTCAACTTAAATTTCTGGAAATCTGTGGTAAGGTTTATGGCAGCATTGACAGGAGACAGTTAAACAAAACCCCAGAGCTCCTTAGGGAGCTTCTTTCAGTATTTCAGGATAGGAGTATTTCAGGATATTAAGCAATGCCATTTCAGATGACTTCATATAAGTGGTTTGTATGCAAACCATGAACATCTAGCTTACTGTTTCAGGATTGTCTTCTGATAGTACAGAAGATGGGGTTTTGAGAGAAACAGCAAGGTGCCCTTGGAAGCCCTCACTGCCTTTTACCTTGAGGCACAGGCAAGAGAATTTGTCTGGGGCATCTGAAACTCAGCTGCCTGAAGGAGAGATGTACCCTTACAGAGAAAATCAGATCTTGGAGAAATCTACTGGAGACTTGAGCTCCTACTTAGAGGACAATACACGTTTCCAAGGTATTCACCATTTTAAAACATCTTTGTGCTGTGCTCTCCTCATACAGTAGTTCACTCAATGTTATATGTTAGTCTGTAGCATTTATACTCAACATATTTTAAATTCAGCAAGGATTCTACATGCGACACCTTTGCTGCTTCCATGTTCTTTGTGCTTTGCTTTATGTCCACATAGTGTAATAGTGGAGCAAAAAAATAAAGGTAAAGGGTAGTCTGGTCAAGTGTCTGATCATAGTTTAGTTTTATGCAGCTTCCTGCTACCATGGCCAGGCTGTTTGTTATCTCTGTCAATCCTGTCACTTGTTTATGCACAACTTTTCCTCTCAGGAAGGTAGAGACAATAATATCTAACACTTTATTATTCATGTAGGGTCACAGAATTGATGAAACTGATTATCAGACAGGTGGGAGTTCTGTGCTCTCTAGAACAATGTGGTGTTTCATGAAAATAAGAACATCTTTCTTGGTTATCATGAAGTTAATGCTAGTATTTGAATGAACTGCTTCCTCCTGGAACATTTGAATACCTAGAATCATAAAATTATAGATTAATCTAGACCAGCAAGGACTTCTGGTTACATGGTCCAAGTTCTTCCGGCTCACAGCAGAGCAAGCTGAGACCAGGTTGCTTAAGGCCTTGCCCAGGTGAGTCTGGGTATCTCTGAGGGCAGAGATTCTGCACATCCTGGGCAATACTTTAACAACTTTCTTCTCTCCCTCCCCTCTCTTCCCTCTCCTCCAGCCAGAATTTCCTGTGTTCCATTTTACGTCCATTTTCTCTCTTTCTTTCACTGAGTATCTTCAAGAGCCTGACTGCATCTTCTCTATACTGTAGAAGACAACAGAAATTTCTCTGCCCTTTCCCCCACACCCCAGATCCTTTTCTTAAGATGGAACAAACTCAATCTTTCAGTTTCTCTTTGCACATTATTTGCTTCATCCTTCCTTTCTTGAATCGTCCTTGTGGCTCCTCACTGGACTTGCTCCTCTGTCACTGTGGGTTTTGTACTGGGAAGCCTATAGTGTTTCTGCAGTCTCACAAGTGCTTAACAGAAAGCTTACAGGCTTCAGCTTTTCATTTAAAAACAAATTGCATCAGTGTAGCACTTTTCTGCTGCTTTTATACCTGTGTTGTATCAGGGTGAAAGAATTGAGTGCTGTAAAGATTTATTTTTTCTGCAAGCTCATTTGTATACTTGCAGAACTGTATCTGCTTTACTTACTGCATATAGAAGCAAGGTGTGATGTGTCCATGGGCTTTTTATGAGAGGGGTGTTGGGGTACTGGGGTGTGTTTGTTTTTATAGCAATGTCTTTTTTTTACAGCTCTAACAGCTGAACTCGATTTTGCTGAAATGGAGAGACCTCTTCCAAACTTCCATCACCAGTTCTTTCAGCCTCTGGAACCAAGTCTTGACTTTGATACTTCATCATCCTGTTCTCAACACAGAATTTCACAAGACAGTAGAGAATTTAGCAAGGTACTACAGAAAATCTCTGGAGGAAATACTTGAGCTTAAGATTTCTGTAGGATTTTAAATCTATAATGCCTGTACTGTTTTCTCTTTAGAAGAAATGCAAAAATGATTTTTGGTACATGTAGAACTGAAAGCGTTTTTGATGGTTATAGCAGATAAGTGATCCAAAAAATCAACTACTGTTAGCTTTTCATCTTTCATATTTCTGAGAAACTGAATCTTTAATCAAGATCATTTTTGTCTTCCTGCCACTAGACTTCAAAATTTTCAACTCAAAGTAAAGATGCTTCTACATCTCTGGAAGTGGGAAACTCCAATTTGACTATACAAAGAAGCAGTCTGCCTTCTAGTCTGGCAACAAACAGGCCAAACAATGGTACACCAGAAGAGCAGTCTGTTGAAGGAAACCTTACTCCAGGTATGTGCAGCACAGTCGGATCAGTGCTTTCAGAACCAGCCTGTTGCCAGTATGTAGATACCAGGTTTGCTGTGTTGAAACTGGGAAGGAACTCTTCACTTGTCTGTCAGTCCTGCCTTGAAATGTCTTAACTGTGCTGCTGCTCTCACACACAGTCTTCTCCACTACCTTTAATGGGCAGAACTCCTAACTCTTGAGAAGTTTTGTTTCCTCAATAGTTGTGACTTTAATACAAAAGCAGACCTGCATATTCAAGTCACTGTAATGTGTATTGTGTTACTTATTACTTGTGCAGTAATTATGACGTTAGTGAAGAAATATCAACTCTGGCTGAAACTGTCAGTTCAGGTACTTTTCCAAATATTTATTCATGGATATCCATCACTGTTCAAGTTTGAGGAAATTAAGGAAGTTCCAAAAATTGATTAAAATTTTGAGGAATATGTGTTAAAATCTCTCACCTGACTCATTTGTCTTTGATCCATTGCATCCTTCAAGAAACCACTGCGTTTCCTTCTCCACTCTTAAATCACACAGGCAGTCATTATGTACTGCACACTGTGGTACGTGGTCTGATTATGCAGTGGCTTTATCTACAAAATAAAAGGGAAAAGAGAGGAAGGAAATAACTTTTAGATTACAGTGTAGTAATTAATTTAGTAGATTAAAAGTTTGTGATTCTACAGCAGCATTAAATTAACTGCAGCTCATAACAGCAAAAATACTTTTTCATGTTGAATTCAAGTTAAGTTTATGTATCCTAAAGAACCAATCTAAAATTCCAAATGCAGCTAGCAGTGATCTTAATATTTTTGAAGCTCTTTTCAGAACAAAACATTCAAAACTTCAAAACATTCTATTTCTAAATTGCTTATACGAACAATCTTTGTGCTTTAAATTTAACTGCACTATCTCCCCATCCCTTAAGTGGTTTTATAATCCCAAACCAATTATTGTTGTGCTTTAAAACCGGGTGGAAAATAACATAGGCAACAGGCTAAGCAAGTCAAAACTGTTTTGGGTTGTCAGTTCAAGGTAGGTTGATACCTAAGTCCATCATTGGGAGAATTGTCTCTTGATGGCTGATGTTACAGTGTAATTCCTCACTTGCTGTGAACAGCTGTTATCAGGGGACAATATTCTTTATGCAGTTAGAACTAGATATTTTGAAGGTGTCAAAGAACACACAAAAAAACATACTTAAAGGAAATTGTTAAAGATTCATGTGGTATATTCCTGTGTGTGTAAAAAGCCTGTTGCTAGGATGGTGCTGGAGTATGTGCAACCAATGTGATCAAACTTGGGTCAGAAATGAATACGTGTAAAGAAGTTCTTGATTGTGAGGGTGCTGAGGCACTGGCACAGGTTGCCCAGAGAAGCTGTGGCTGCCCCAGCCCTGGCAGTGTTCAAGGCCAGGTTGGATAGGGCTTGGAATAACCTGCTCTAGTGGAAGGTGTCCCTGCCTGTGGCAGGGAGTTGGAACTGGAGGAACTTACGGTCCTTTCCAACCCAAACCATTCTGTGATTCTATGAAACAGTCCTGTTGTTTGTTTGGCACATGTTGTACTGCTGAAATGCCTCCATGGTAACAAAAAATGCTGATACCTGGTCTTCCTCTTTTCAGGCCTCTGCTGGAAGAGAAATAGTATCTCAGTTTGTATGCACAGATCCTAAGGGAGAGGTAATTTAGGGTACAGTGTTGTAACTTGTAGGAACATCAGTCATTGTTACAATTTAGATGTTTTCTTCTACTCTGAAGAGTTTCTGCCCAATTAAAGGTGTTTTGGTTTGTTTTCCTCCTGTTTTAGACTCTGTTGGAGGCAGAAAAAGACTCAAAGGACTTCCATTTACAGACAGTAAATTGTAAAATCCATTGACTTTCAATGTAGTTATGTCAGCATCATCCCAAAGTCTGTTCCTAAAAACAGAATCGTAGATTCATGGAATGGTTTGGGTTGGAAGGGACCTTAAAGCTCCTCCAGTTCCAACCCCTGCCACGGGAAGGGACACCTTCCACTAGCCCAGGTTGCTCCAAGCCCCGTCCAACCTGGCCTTGAACACTGTCAGGGGATGTGGCAGCCAGAGCTTCTCTGGGCAACCTGTGCCAGCGCCTCAGCACTCCCATGAGGAAGAAATTCTTCCCTGTATCTTAAACATATTCTAAGAAGCAGCAGAAGGTGTTGTTTCTTGAAGTTGCTTTGTGTACAGTGAAGAAACCGTTTTATGTAATGTTAACAGTGTTAACAAGTTTGAGGAAACATAAGTAGACTGGTTTTAAACAAAATGTTTCTTCTTATTTGGCATACTTTTTATTATACATTACTGAAAAACCATACTAGGGAGGGACTTTTTGAAGTGGAAATTCTGTTGTGTTGGCCAGAATTTTGACTGTTGATAATTTTTGTAACAGGATCTGAGGAATCTTTTCACCCATTGCCATTAGAATCTACTCTGAGCGGTCACTGTCGGAACACCAATCAGCTAGGGGACGTTAGTGCTGTGTTACAGGGGTGTTCTGACCAAACCCCTGGAATGAGAAAGCAGGGCAATGAGAAGTGTATTTCACCTGCCAGAGAATACAAAGAGCTGGCAAGAAATATGGAATCTATTGATCTGCAGTGTTCAATGGAGGATCTGCAAAATGAAAGCCTGAATCCACTGGAAGAGCAAGAATTTTATCCTCTAAATACCACACCAGGTACAGTGGATGACACTTCCCCTCAGCACTTGCTAAAAGAGACCATGTCTTCTGAAAAATCACCTGTGGAGATACTGGAGAAGAAGTTTGTTAAGCTTCCTGAAAGATCAGTTCATTTACATGAAGCAAATAAAGCTGTGGAGCTGGATTCTCAGTGCAATAGACATACAAAAGAGCCAGATCAAAGCTTTCCAGATGAACAAAAATCTTTCAGGATTCCCAGAGAAACCAACTTGGAAGACTCAGACCTCCGTTTCCAGGCTGTTGTACAACAGAGTGGTTCTGTCCTAGAAAGACATGAGAAACACTCTCGTCCTGTGCCCAGAAGCTCATGCTCTATTCCAGTCTGGGTGAGTAGAACAGATTTCCAAAAGCAGTCATTTGTGCAGGCTTCATTGTTAGCTTTTTTTCCTCTGTGTGTTGTTGCACCAAGTTATTTTAGACCTTTAATATCTGAAAGCTTGGCAAATGTGGATTTGATGGTTCTAGTTTAAGACCCATGTGTTTCCTGGACTTCTGTCCTACTACTGCTTTCAGATCATGGCACTGAAATAATCAGTACCTAAAATGAGCTGCAGATCTCATGATTGTTGTGGAAGCTATATCTCCATTGCATCTCCCTCTCCCAGCACCAGTTGGTACCGCATATGTATCTGCATTGCATGGCACAGGTACCTCACTGAGCAGCCCCTACACCCATTTAGAAGCCTGAAGGAGGTAAATAATCAAAGCATAAGCAAACAGCTTTGATGTAGCTTTAAAAGAAGATAAAAAGTTTGCCCTAGAGCTGAGTAGTTTAAACTGAAAGTGAGTGGAGGAGAGGGGGAGATTTTCTTGTTCTTTGGGTTATTTGTTCAGGCTTTTTTAACACTGGTCTATAACATACTTTGCATTGGACTTAGTTTCCAGGGTTTGCACATGTCAAAACCTCAGGCAAACTGCTCTCTGCATTTCACTTCCTGCTTGGGGGCAGATTTTCTTCATTCTGTACATCGAATGAGCCTCCTCTTTCTGACAAGATAACAGCTGTTGCTGGGAATAGTGATTTTATGTCCTTTTTTGTTACACTGATGTCTTGTGTAATTTGTTTTCTAGGAGACAGAGTCAGGGTGTGGTATTATGGAAGAGCCTGAGCTCACTCTGATAAGCTCAAACGACATCAGTATTGCAGAATCAGACATTGAACACAGTAACCAAGGGAAGATTAAGGAGGATAAAATAAGCAGCCCAGCTGCTGTGGATCAGTCTGAATTTCATGCTTTTACTGAGGTGAGTCTTTATTATCTAACGTAATTATGATTTTAACTTAGGCTTAATCCTAATAAGGAGAGGCCCCACTGTAGCAGTTAATCCACTGTTGCAAAGCAATGTTAGGGTTATCTGTGCTTAGTAATTGCTTGGATCATCTTTGTTCGATGCTGTTTTCCACACAGATCTAATAGATCTTGAATTTGGGCTATTCCTTAAAATCACTACCTTGTCATATCGGTGCAGTTAGTTTGGGAAGACTTCTGCTGAGAAATAGAACTGTCTTGCTGGCAAGACTAACTTGTATCCCATTAGTTGAAGACTTGAATTGATAGGAGAGGGTGGGACAAAGCTACAAACTAAACAGGGAAAAAAAGGACAAATCCCTTCCCTTGTGGATGGAGCTAACCAGGCCCACACAGCAGTTTGAGGTCTATGGGGAAAGTATGGTCAGCTCATCGTCCTGCCATGCTTCATGTGCCTATGGCATGCTTGTGCTTATGTAAAGCAAAGGCAGTGAATTGTAGTGGTACTGGTTTGTAATGGCTTGGGTGGCACAGCAGTAACATAGACCCAAGTGATCTCTGTTAGATAAAACCATGATCCAGTTGTGTGAGGCATCTAGAACAGATCCTAAAAGTGCTCAAGGATGGGTCTGTAAAGTAACCAAAGTGTGGACAAAGTACACAAAAGGTGTAACAAAGTAACAAAGTGGAGGTGGGTGGCTGGAGGCTGTATTTGGGCAGTAGGTGTCACCTTCAGCTGCGAATGGGGTAAAGGGACAGAGCAGTGAGAGTAGTGGGGAGAACCAGAGGGAAGAAAACCACATCCATTGGGATGGAGTTACACAGCCCTGTGTTAAGAACCAGCGGGTGAGATCTGGTGGGCAAAGGATCTTTAATGGATTATTCTAAGTTTTAAAATGTTTTCTAGAAAGTAGCTTTTGAATGCTTACCACCAGGATCCCTTTCTGGTGTTCTTGTATCTGCTATCAAGGCAAAAGAGTACATCTTGTATCTGCATTGGGTCTATGTTACTGGTACAGCACTGCCACTTCACTCAAATTTGTTGCGTATTTTAAGCACTTCCATCACCGATTCCTTCTGAAACAGGAGAGAGAATTTCTGCCACTAGTTCCAGATGCAGATTATTCGGTGTTTGCAAGGCCTGACAGTTCTTCCAAAGCTCGGAGTCCCAATGACTGTCACCTCCCATCACCTCAGACTGCAGGTAAGTGTCAGTCGTAGAATCACAGACTGGTTTGAGTTGGAAGGGACCTTAAGATGATCCAGTTCCAGCCCCCCTGCCATGGGCAAGGACACCTCCCACAAGAGCAGGTTGCTCCAAGCTCCGTCCAACCTGGCCTTGAACACTGCCAGGGCTGGAGCAGCCACAGCTTCTCTGGGCACCCTGTGCCAGCGCCTCAGCACCCTCACAGGAGAGAATTTCTTCTTCATATCTAATCTCAATCTCCCCTCTTTCAGTTTAAAGCTATTTCCCCTTATCCTGTCACTACATGTCTTTGTAAAAAGTCCATCTCCAGATTTCTTGCAGTCTCCTTTAGGCACTGCTCAAAGTCTCCCCAGTGCCTTCTCTTCTCCAGGCTGAACAAGCCCAACTCTCTCAGCATGTCTCCACAGGAGAGGTGCTCCAGCCCTCAGAGCATTATCATAGTTTCCTCTGGACTCTTGAGCAGGTCCACATCCTTCTTGTGCTGGGGGCTCCAGAGCTGAACACAATATAGTGAAGTATATTCAGTGTACTGAATACATACTTCACTGTACTTCACTATACTGAAGTTGAGATAGAGAAGGTCTTTATAGTATTAAAATCATTAATTATATACACCTGTCCCTTAAAAAATGTAAAGCATCTTTTACTTAGGCATGTGCCTCTTGCTGCTCAGGCTTGAGCTGTAGTACATTTTCCCCAGGTTTAACATGTGTCTTATACCTACAATATGTCGGGGGGGGGTGTGTTACAACTACTTAATTTTGAAAAATTATGTTGTGTGTTATCATTACTATCATATTTTGTTACTTGGTTTTTATTTCCTTCTAGGCCCAAGCTCTGTAGCCAAAGAATGTGTTTTTAACTATTCTGACAGTGTGGGACATCAGTAAAACACTGAAGCATGTTTTGTCAAGGATGAGCAACAGTAACATGAAAGTCAGGAATTGGCAGAACTTAACTGTGTCAAGGACTTCTTAGGTCCTTGATTATGTTTTGAGGCATCAAGATGCTTTTATTTGTCACAGTTGTCTTGGCAGAACCACTTAGTTATTAGATTCCATAGGCCTGAACTGCTGCTCATCACTCGTAATGTCACTCTCAACAGTGTGATTTACCAAAATAGTCACGTTCAGCATTTTAGGAGAAATACATTGACTTGCACAAGTGGCTAGAGGTGATACTGACTTGCTAGAGGTGATGCTGCTCATGGCTACAAGTGAGGAATGTTCAGCCTGTTCACTTTCTCTCACAGTGATGGTGTTGGAGTTTGCGGCTGCACCCGGAAGCTTGCAAGAATCTTTCTTAAAACAGAAGCAGAACTTCATCCAGAAATCCCTGAAAAGAGTAGAAGGAATAAAAACTAAAGAGAGAGCAAATGAGAAACCAGAAGCCAGGCGGTCTCACAGAGGAAAGTCTGAGAAGTTAAGCAGGCAAAAAGAGTCTTCTCCTATCTCTGGTAGGTTTATCTGGGGCCAAACACATCATTGGATATCCTTTCAGGTGCTGTTTTGCGTCCAAGAGCAAAATTTCACACTTGTTGCATCTTTACTTACTACTGCAGACTAGGCTATTCTTTGTCTTCTCAGGGATGTGGGCAACTTTTTCCCCACTGCCTGGCCACTTCCTCAGTGTCACAGAGGCCCTTATGGGTCTTCATCCTGTTTTTACCTTCTGCCCACATGTTTGTACTCGTGTTTCTGCAAATCACAGTTGTTTATCAAAGAGCAACCATGTTAAGGGAACTGATGGGCAGCAAAGCTGGTGAAGGGGCTGGAGCACAGGTCTGCTGAAGAATGGCTGATGGAATTGGGAAGGTTTTGTCTGGAGAAAAGGAAGCTCAGGGGCGACCTTATCCTCCTCTACCTGAAAGGAGGATGGAGCAAGGTTTGGGTGCCAGTCTCTTCTCCCAGGTAACAAATGATGGGACAAGAGGTAATGCCTCAAGTTGCACCAGGGGAGGTTTAGATTGGAGATCAGGAAAAATTTCTTCACAAAAAGTGTTGTCAAGCATTAGAACAGGCTGCCCAGGGAAGTGGTGGGGTCACCATCCCTGGAAATGTTCAAAATCCATGTATGTGAGGTCCTTGGTGACATGTGGTGGTGATCCTGGAAGTCCTGGGGTAATGGCTGGTCTTGATCTTGAAGGTCTTCTCCAACTTAGTTGATTCTGTGATGCATCTGTGAAAATGGGGAGCTGGAAGGCAGCTGGTAGGAAGCACAGCTGGCTTGAAGTGCAGGCCGCAGCCTCATGAGGGAGACTGCAAGGCTTTAACACAAGACATCCCCTCCATCAGGTCCATCCTGCATTCTGCTGGCTTATCTTTGTAATGTCCTTTAAAACCCTTGGAAAACCTCTCACCTTTTGCATTAGCTGGACTAAAGGTGTAAATTTAAGATTTGTCTTTCTTGTTAGGAAAAAAAGGTGCAGTTGCCAGTCAGTTGAAGAAAGTAGGAGAAGTGTCTTCTCCAGGGGACAGGAATTCTGGAGAAACCGGAATGCGTCAGCGTACTTCAAGGTATGAACACAAGTGGAAGAAGCGTGGATTAAAACCCAGCAGTTCATCTGTATGTTGTGAAGGTGACCACTCAGAGCAGTTTGTGATCTCCCAGTGCTGTGTAACACAGAACTGAGAGAAAGGCTGAGTGTGTTTTCCTGCTGGGAAACCCTCTCGCAGTGCTGGCTGTAAGAAACCTGCTTCCTCTTCCTGCTGAGGCAGCTCATGTAGAACTAGATTAAAGCTGAAGCCAAGGTCACAATTGCACCTTGGCACTAAGGGCAATGTGCAGCAACTGCATCCCTGAACTGGGGGTTAGAAGTAGCCAAAAAGGAATTTGATGTGACTCTGGATTATGGGAGAGTGAAGTCAGAATTTCTTAATTTCTAGCAACTGAGACAGTATAAACCTTTAAAAGTGTTCGCTTACTGCAGCTTTGCCACTTGCTTCTGACAAACCAATTTTTCCCCTACTGTTTGTGCAGACTTTATAATCAACTTGCAGAAGTAAAAATGAGAAAGGAAGAAAAAACAAGGCAAGAAACTTATGCTAAGAACAGAGAAAAGGCTAAAGAGTTTCAAAAGGTAATACAGTTTATACAACATTGTCCTACCTGGTCCATTCTCATTTCACCAGGCTTCTACTCAGAGTAATCTGACATAGGTGTGGTGCGAGTACAGCTGAAACAGTGACTGTCAAACCAGTCTGGCTTTTAAGGGATATCCCAGTTCAGGATTTCCCTGCCAGCACTGTGACGGCCTCAGGTTGGTTTTCTGGTGACTTGAGGTGGAGCAAAAATAGGCTGTTAGGGCTTTCAGCAGCTAGAAGGGCCACTTGGCAGAAGAGCGGGAGGTTATTAGTCTAAATGTGACTGAATGTCCATTATAAGGCAGTTTTGGGAGGGTGGGGGCTGGCTGCTTTGGCTATTCCAGATAGCCGGAGATTGTGCCTAGCTGAGCACACCTGAGCTAAAGGGTGTAGGATCCCCTCTGGGTTTGCCTGTAGCTGCTCTACAACAGGGGCTGAACCAGAGGCCTCAAGCTGTTGGTTCTCTGTCCCCTTGCTAAGCCTCACACAGCTGGAAGTGCTTTATAGTCCTGCCAGGCTGAAGCTGCTCCTGAGGCTCCAGGCACACATCCTGCGTCTAGCACTGACCACCTCAACTTCTCTGTAGTTGAGTGCTGCCCTTGCATTGTTTTACAAATCCTGTCATTAACAGGAAAAAAGAGCAATAAGCACACATTCCCCTGGACCTGTAGAAGTTTTGGAGCAGTAGCTGGACTCACTGCTCTGCCGTTACTGATGTCCAGGTTACATGTTTTAGTCCTGTCACTCAAGCTACACTACACTAGTATGATGTTTTTTATTTGCAGAAGATGCTGGAAAAACTACGAGCCAAGAAAACTGGGAAAGCACCATGACTGGCTGAACACTTAACAAGACTGTCCTGGTACAGGCCAGGAGCCTACAAAGTACCGCACTTACATTAAGTTCATTGTGGAGCCATGAGGAATCCTCAGCTTTAAGCTGTAGGAAGACTGTGAGCAAACTCACTTTTCCCAAGATCCCTACAGCAGCAGACTGACTGTTGCTGTAATCGTGCTTTGTCTCGGACTGACACTGAAAAGCCTTTCTGGATGGGCATCTGTATTTTAAAGACAGATCGTCCTAACTCCTGTAATACACATGTATAAAGCGTTTTCTAATAAAGCTTTTTAAGATGACACCTCCAGATGAAAGACATTTCCTCTGTGAAGTTTAACATTCATCTGTTCTCTGCACTATGTGATTTAAGATGAGGACATGGGAGCTCATGCAGTCAAGAGGTGTATCTAAATCACATGGAGGGAAGAAAATAAATCCTTTACCCTGTTACTCCTTCCAAATTCCATCTTTCTACCCACATTTGCCAAGCTCCTGATTCAAAGCCAAGGAATTACATCATGAGGACAAATGCAAAGCTTAGCTCCTGCTATGTGGTCATGAGCAGGTGGAAGAGCAGGGCCACTTCACTGCATATTTAAGATACAGAACAGTTTGAGCTTACTTTTGATAAGCCATTGACTACACTTCAGGCTTGTTTTCACTGAGCTTTTCAGTCCCTGGTACAGTTGCTTGTACTGCAGTTGCTGAAGCTATTTCAGAGCAAAGCCAAAACCAGCTTGTCATTCTATGGGGAGGAGAGATGGAGGCTTCTTGCAACAGAACAATCAGCAGAACAATTAATGGTCTCTCCTTTGGCTGTAGTGGCTCTGCAAGGGCTCCTCAGGCTTTCATGCAGAAATACTCCTGCTGCAGCCTCAGGGGAAGAGGTGTAGCCTACACTTTGCCAGGGCAGCAGCTGCCATGATTTATTCACACACACAGACATGTGCTTACACCAAAGCAACAGGAACTAATCCCAGGCTGCAGCTCTGACATTGATTTTATTTAAACATTCTGATATTCTGCACATTCTCTCCTGAAGTTCAGGACAGGGAACTGAGAGAAAACAGCTGATAAAGCTTTTACTACTCAAATTAAAACTTGATCTATACTCTTGAGTCTTCTGCAACAGCAAGCTGGCAGCTTCACATCCTCCCACAAGGGCACTGCAGGCAAGTTGTGACAGAGGGTAAGGACAAAGGCTCCTGTGCTTCTGAACCAGTTTCCAAACACTGCACACTACTTCAGTGTCCAAAGCAGTGAGGGGAGTTAGGCTGAGTGATTAATAATAAATTACTGCAAGAAACACTCTGGATAAGGTTGTTTTTAGAAGAGCCATTCAGTTCTTTGCAGCAACAGCACCAGGACCTGAGAGAGGAAAAGCATCTGTTAGCACTTTTAGCTCATTGAGTCCAAGCTTTAACCCAGCACTGCTAAATCCACCACTAAACCATGCCCCTATACACATCTACACATCTTTTGAATACCTCACCAGGGATGGTGGCTCCAGAACTGCCCTGGGCAGCCTGTTCCAATGCCTGACAACCTTTTTGGGGAAGGAATTTTTTCTAGTATCTAAATCTAAACCTCCCCTGGCACAACTTGAGGCTATTTCCTCCCCTTCTATCCCTTCATACTTGGGAGAAAAGACCAGCACCCAAATGCCTCCATCCTCCTTTCAGGTAGTTGTAGAGAGCAATAAAATCTCCCCTGAGCCTCCTTATCTCCAGGCTGAACAACCACAATTCCCTCAGCTGTTCCCCATAAGCCTGTGCTCCAGACCCTTCCCCAGCTTCACTGTCCTTCCATGGACACGTAAGCAGCAATGAAGTTACAAGACAGCCTGTGCCACAATTGGATCAACGTGTTCTTCAGTTTTCCATGCTGTGGAAGTCAGCTGGTTTCAGCATTAAACTGATCAGCCTCTTCCTACATCAACATCTCAAAAACCCTGAGGGCAGTGGATAAACATCCTTTTCTAGTCCAAAAGGCCCAACTACATCAGGTTTATCTCCTCATAAATAGACCATAGCACACAACACGTGTCCACGGCATCCTGCAGAGGATTTCAATGTGCGGTCACCGCGTTAAGAGCTGCTGGTTTCTCAGCCATGCAAACCCTCTTTGAAGTGACCTCAAGTTTCTCTGTAGCACCAGCCATTCTGCTAAGCACTCACCTTCAGACTCACTTTGATGGCAACTCTCGGTTTCTCAGGCCTCCCACATGCAGACACTATGGGTCAAGGAGTCAGATTTGGTTAGAGAAGAGTTCACAAACTGTGTGTAAATTGCAGAGAAGCTTTTTTGCCCCTGTGTGCACAACAATCCTCTCAACAGCAGCTTCTGGAACCCAAGTTACAACCTTTCTAACTAGAGCTTTTACTACTCTGTAGCTTCAGTGTTGGAGGTGCCCAAGGATACGGCCACACACATGCACCTCAGCCAGAACTTGTTTTTAGCAGCAGAGGGGAGCAGCACGTCTATGACTGACAGAAAAGCTTTATTCCCAGCAGACTTAGTGCCACATGATGTGGCAGTTCAGGAGTCTGATGGCTTTGCTTTATGGTCATGTCCACAGCTCACCAGAAACAGCAACATCCCAGGCAGCCTTGGTAATGACCAGATCCTCTCCTCACTGCTGTTAGGTTGGTGATAACCTAAATCTGGAGCTTACATCAATACTCAAGTTGCCCATCCCTTCTTATTAGGGCAAATCAGTCCTGCCAATATATAAGCCAAGCTGTGTACCAACAAGCCTAAAAATCACAGGATGGTTTGGGTTGGAAGCGACATTAAAGCTCATCTAGTTCCAACCCCCTGCCACAGGCAGGGAACCTTCCACTAGACCAGGTTACCCCAAGCCCCATCCAACCTTTTAAAAACTCCATGTCCAGAGGAACTCCTCACAACCAGCAGCAGTCTACTTCAGAAACCAGCACAAACTGCTGCACAACAGTGACATCCATTTAAAGTATACAGGCACACGCAGTGACTTGCAGATAAGCAGCCTGCTCAATACTGCCAGAATCTGGGCTGACAACTGCCCAGTTCTCTCTACAAGACAACCACTTCCACACTTCTCAAGAACAGTTTACTGAGGCTTCCATGTTCCAGAGTCACACAAGTTAACATACAAACTATGAAGTAGCATGAAAGCATCTCAATTGACCAGCATCTTGGTGCTTACCTGTCACACAGGTTATCTTCTGCAGCTCATCCCTTCAACACAGCAACACCCACTTTACTCTGTATCCTAAAGCACCTGTTAGAAAGAACAGACAGAATGCACTTGCCGAGTTCCAGAGACAGGTATCCAGTTCTTATACTGAACATGCAACTAGAAAGTGAGTACACTCAAATCCCAGAGCAGGGCAAAAACTGTATGAGCAATAATACCAGGTTTAACAAACACAGCACAATGAAAACCAACGATGCCAACACTGACCTCCTGTAGCACTGATCTTTGAACACCCCAGCAGAGAATGCTGCTGGGTGCAGATACCATTCAGTGCAACACCCACAGTGCTTTTTCATCCACAACTGCTCGTTTAACAGTAAAGCTTGTATGCACCAGTTAGTGTCTACTGATGCAGTTGCCATGCAACCCTGAGGGAAAACACACTGTGGATTTCACCTAACGGAAACAGCAGCTTCAGAATTCTTCCACATTTTTGGCATGGAATTTATTACAATCCTTACTGTGAAGGATTTATACTTCTTTCAAAGTACTTTGCTTGGTTTCCTTTAAACACTGCACTCTACAGACCAGAAGCCAGAAATTTTAACTGCATATAGTAAACTGGCTGAGCTGCTCAGAAATTTAACTCTTTAAACCCCAAACTTTACCCAAGTATTTGCTGCTCAGTATAAAACTATCATATATAGTGATATCTCGGAGATATGGTTTGGCGGTGGTCTTGGTAGTCCTGGGGTAATGGTTGGACTTGATCTTAGAATCGTAGAATCACAGAATAATTAGGGTTGGAAAGGACCTTAAGATCATCTAGTTCCAACCCCCCTGCCATGGGCAGGGACACCTTACGCTAAATCATATCACCCAAGGCCTCGTCCAACCTGGTCTTGGACACTGCCAGGGATGGAGCATTCACAACCTCCCTGGGCAACCCATTCCAGTGCCTCACCACCCTAACAGGAAACAATTTCCTCCTTATATCCAATCTAAACTTCCCTTGTTTAAGTTTTAACCCATTACCCCTTGTCCTATCACTACAGTCCCTAATGAAGAGTCCCTCCCTAGCATCCCTATAGGCCCCCTTCAGATACTGGAAGGCTGCTATGAGGTCTCCACGCAACCTTCTCTTCTCCAGGCTCAACAGCCCCAACTTTCTCAGCCTATCTTCATACAGGAGGTGCTCCAGTCCCCTGATCATCCTTGTGGCCTCCTCTGGACTTGTTCCAACAGTTCCATGTCCTTTTTATGTTGAGGACACCAGAACTGCACACAATACTCCAGGTGAGGTCTCAGGAGAGCAGAGTAGAGGGGCAGGATCACCTCCTTCGACCTGCTGGTCACGCTCCTTTTGATGCGGCCCAGGATACGGTTGGCTTTCTGGGCTGTGAGCACACACTGCCAGCTCATGTTCATTTTCTCATCAACCAACACCCCCAAGCCCTTCTCCTTGGGCTGCTCTGAATCTCTTCTCTGCCCAACCTGTAGCTGTGCCTGGGATTGCTCCGACCCAGGTGTAGGACCTTGCACTTGGCATGGTTAAACTTCATGAGGTTGGCATCAGCCCACCTCACAAGCGTGTTAAGGTCCCTCTGGATGGCATTCCTTCCCTCCAGCATATCAACCGAACCAAGGTCTTTCCCAACCAAGTTGATTCTGTGATTCTAAATGCAGGAGAACACACCATGTTTGTAAGTTACCTGAAGCTCAGGGAGATGCCATAATGCTGCCTCTTTATCTACAGCCACCAAAACAATTCTCATGCTTTCATAACGTAAGGAGGAATAAGCCATCCAGAAAACTCAAACCACAAGAAGTGTTAGCGATCAGGTACCCGCACAGAAATCCCATGCAATTCATGTTAGTTACACCTCAACTCCCAAAACACACCATCTCTTGACTCTTACCAAGCTTTTCCACTTGAATCATCTTTGCTATTTGTACCAAAACACAAGCCAGTACCTAAAGGAGAACATGATGTGTTATTACAGCTCCCTGGATGCTACATTAACATCTGTCTTGCAGTTTTATCCCACAGAACTAACAGGTAGTTCAATGGGTAAAGCGAAACCACAAGTTTATTCTGTGAGGCATTTCCAACGACACGAACCTACAGAAGAGATCCTATCGGGATAGACCTCAGCACTTCTGGTACTCTGAACTAAAGCAACAGGTAAAAATCAAGCAGACTGAAACTGTCATCTCATACAGAACCTATTGTCTTTTTAACTTGTTTCGAGACACTTGGGGGAAGAAAGAGGGTAAGTGATACTTCATCTTCCCCCTTTGTTAGTGTAACTCCTTCATAGCATTAAAAGTTAATGTTACCTGAAAGGCAAAGAGAATGAACTACAAAAGTGTATACAAACAGAATCCTCTAACTTCCCTGCTAAACATAACTTGCTTGTAGAAATGAAGCTATCAGTGCAAGACGTCAAGCTGATCAGCTCCTTTTTGACTGAGACATTTGTACAAATGGTTTTGGACAAAGTCAAAACCAGTTCTAAACAGAGTACATTCTACATCACAACACCGTAACACAGTGTAGAAACAAGTCCCTGAAACCCCCCCAAAAGTCACACAGACTTCCCACCACTGAAAACCAGAGCCCTTTCACCATTAAGGAATACTCAGAACCCCATGTCATACTAACCAGCTCCAGAAGAGCCTTCAGATTGCCATGAAATGACATCCGGCGTTTCTTCTGTTATCTTCTCTAATCACATACCACCTGTAAAGGCAGGATCGGGTCACAAACTGACATAGTGTGCACGCAAACCAGCAGAACCTAGAGCAGGGCTTGGTACTCAAGTGGTTCTAACCATCACAAGCACTCCTGATAGCCTATGTGGAATCACGCTTAACGTCTGAATATTCTCCTAATTTCACCTGACAGCTCCTCTTCAATTCTGTTTATTTTAAATAAAGACACATAGTCACCACCTTTGCTTATACAAAACGCTGCATGTTAAATACAAGATGCCCAGAATAAGTGCTATAAAAAGGACGCTCGTGTGGTGGGTTTGTTCAGAAAGGCCATTCTCACTCACTCTTTTCAGAGCAGTTGAACATCTTGCCAATCATCACAACAAGCTTTCTCACAGCATTCTCAAGTTTAGGGGGAGAGAAGCTCTGATGTTTTCTAAAGCAACACAGCATCTTCTCAGTTAAGAAGAAAACAGCAAGTTTACAGGCTCACCAAGATATAGCCAGCTAACCTGCAACAGGCAAGGGTTAAAAAGCAATCTGCACACCAGCTTACCAAGATGCTGCTTCAGACCGGACTACCAGGTGGACTCCCTAAAAAGTAAGTTGTTGCATCTGAGTAACAGTTTGAAGTTTAAGTCTTAATAAGTTACTAAAATACTGAATGAAGAGTATCTATCATAGAATCACAGAATGGTTTGGGTGGGAAAGGACCTTAAGATGGTCAAGTTCCAATCCTCTGCCATGGCCAGGGACGCCTCACCCTAAACCATGTTGCTCAAGGCTCTGTCCAGCCTGGCCTTGAACACTGCCAGGGATGGAGCATTCACCACTTCTCTGGGCTGCCTGTTCCAGTGCCTCACCACCCTCACAGTAAAGAGCTTCTTCCTAATATCTAACCTGAACTTTCCCCCAGTATGAAGCAGACAGACTGTGGTCCAGTTATGCTATCCGAACGCTAATGCCAAAGTGGGTTTTTTGAAATCAGAGCCATGGCCCAGGCTATCACACCACTGCCAACAGCACCTATCCACTATGTGAGAAACCGTAGTGCTATGGCACAGAGGTACAGCTAAGAGAGATACCTGACAAAGCAAACTCCTATGACATCACATTTTAAAGCTTACAAATATGCTCTAATAATCCATCTACAAGAATGCAGTGCTGCAAGTGTTCTTCCCCCACCTGCTAATTCTACTTCCTCTAGTAGGCAGGATGCAGAATCTAAACAAGCTCATCCTTGGGATTCTGCAGTAGCTGCATTTTCAGCTAAACTGCATAGCTGTCCCACTAAGTGAACCTGTTACAGGTCTCATTGTCACCACTGCAATTAACTATACAGTGAGGAAAGCACAACCTGTTCCTTTTCTAGCCACGTTTTTCAATTCAGACACACAAGTGAGTTGTGTCTATTTGTTGACTAACGTGGCATAACAACTCTTCACAATGGCTGCCGAACAGCTTCTAGTTTGGAAGCCCAGCCAGTTAACTTCAGCAGAAACATGTCACTTATCTGCCATCTGGTGCCTGGATTTGTGTTTCAAAAATCAAATCCCGCTTCCTTGTAAAAAGGCAAGCAAAACTTAAGACTTGAGCTTTTATGATCCTCATCCAACTACCTCCCCACCTAGAAAAAAACAACTATTTCCTCAATACTTACCCTCAAGTAGATGCTTTCCATTGTGTTCTAGACATCACAGGAATGCCCTTTTAAGAAGAAATATTTTCAAGTAATATCATTATAGCTCCTCAATATTGCATTTTACAAGCTTTCCAATAAGAAACTTTTAATGTACTTGTTTCAACAGAAATACCAAGTTTAACCAGCACATAAGCATGGAAACCAACGATGCCAGCTGCTGAAATACTGTAGCACTGCTTTTTGAACACCCCACCAGGAAAACACTGCTGGGTGCAGATACCATCCAGTGCATAAGTTAGTCTGGTTACTTGCTGTAGAAATAGTACTTGCCTGAAGAAATCTGATACCCTTAAGCTGAAGTTCAGCAGAAACACAAAACTTACCTCTTTCACCAATGTGCTCCACAGGAGTCCACTCAAGTAACAGAGTTGTACATCAGAAACCAGCTAACAGCCATAAGAACTGAAGCACTCAAAAGATGCTGTGCTCAATCTGCAGAGCCTGGAAAGAAATAGATGTAATTGCACTACACTTCTGCAGATCTGTGACACAGAACCCATGCCCTAGGTTCATCAGTATTTGAAAGAATTTCTGTTTGAACACATGCAAATACTGTCCCTTCATATACGTAACACAACCAATATGTTCATCAGCTGTGGGTTGCAAAAGAAGGTTTTTTTCTAAGCACTAGGTTCCAGGTTTTTGTCTACAGCAACAGACAAAAACTGAACACGTGCTGGAACAGACTGAATGCAGCAGCTTTTAGTTTTCCACTGCTTTTGAAACTACATTTGAAGCTATGTCTCAGTTTCCTATACAGTGACCATTAGGAACTGTCACCTTTCACTATCATCTCTTCTATTTTGAGACACAGGTGCACTCTGGACCAAAGGAATTGTGGCAAGGAGTTCAGTATCAGATACTCCGCTGTAAGAACGACTTACGCTGTGTCAAGCTGGTGTATTATCTAGTCTGGCACCCACACTACAGCATCAGCCAAAGAAGAGACTATGCTCTTGTCAGGTTTCACTCCTTGCCCGGCTTTAGCTCAAGGATTCTCATGTTACAGATGTTTTCCTGTCCTGTAATCTTACACAGCATTTTCTTGCATGCCACTTCCTAGGCTGTCGTGGAGCCACACAGACTTTGTAACATCCTACAGGAAGATGTTTTAGACATTTAGACAGCTTTAACGAGACGTAAGTGGAAGACTAAGAGCTTCTCTCTGCTGTCCCCATTAACCAGTTAACAGCTTACCTTTTACATCAGGAAAACCAAGTGGCATTTCCTCCTCCAAAAGCACCATAAACTGGAATAAAGAAGAGCAAAGGAATTCAAACTATCAGATATGGTCAAGCAACTGAGATTCCTAAAGCCAAAGGCTATGTTTCAGCAAGCAATGTAACAGTTGTGACAAGCCTGATTTTCATGTGATTTATCCAGTTCTAATCAGAATTGAAATTTAGTTCATTTCTGAGTCACTCAGCAGTTGAACAGAAAAATTCATCACACGAACTGCAGAATGAGCAGGACCCCACATAACACCTTGCTACACCTTACCCTGCAAGAACCCCACTCCTAGATCCAGGATGAGTCTTTCAAGCCATAGAGTATCTCTCAGGTAGATCCCTAAAAGAGTTACATTTAGCCATTAATTTTGGACCAGTATTAAATGTCATCTTCCAACAACTGAAGAGTAGTTTTTACAGTCTTACTCCCTTGAGCTACCAAGCTGCAACTGGAAAACTCCAAACCTTCTTTACAAAGATTTGGGACCCTAACAGAAGCACACAGGGAATGCAACTTGACCTGCTCTAATAATCACACTGAGCACCTACTGTAAAATTCCTCCCACTGTCAACTGTGTTTTGAAGGAAATTAAACAAGCAGATATTAAATCTTTTCCTGACAACATCCCTGTTTGGCAGACTGTTTTTAACTGCTAAACAGCTCTGCTGCTGACAATGATTTGTTATTAAGAGTGACACATATCAGCTTTGCTTTTTAAATCTTGCCGATTCACAAGTAAACTTCTTAGACACTTTTTTATTGACACTGCTACAAAGACAGCCTTGTCATCAAGTCAGCCATCTTCAGACATTACTAAACGTTCACTAGTCACATTCCCAACTGCCTAAAACGCCCCTGGGAGAATATCTGCAACTGGGGCCATGCTTGTTAAATTTCCATCTTGTGCTTAGTCATGTACACATCAGAATTCATTCAGGACAGAGGAGGGCGAGGGAAAAATCTTGCAATCCAAGATACCTGTAGCAGCACAGTGTATTTTAAGGTAACTTCTAATTCCAGATTACTGGATTAGATTCAGGAGCACAGAAATTTTCTGAGAAGTTATTCACATGGAACAGACAACCTCAATCACACAAGTCCATTTCATCATCATCTGAATGCATCAACCATATTCTCCAAGAAGCTTTTGTCCCAGTTGACTAACCACTTTGCACTTTTACTGTTGGCACTTGATCTGCTTAAAGTTTCATCTTCAACCTTGACTTAGCTCTTGAAGTATTTCACAGCATATCCTGCATTTCCTCAAGACAGAGAAAATGTCAGCTATGAAAGGGTCCAAACTGTCCCTTGTAACTCCAGTAGATGTACATGTAAACACAGAACCATAGAACCAACTAGGCTGGAAAAGACTAAGACCATCAAGTCCAACCACTACTCCAGCACTGCCAAGACCACCACCAAACCATGTCACTGAAAGCTTCATCTACATGATTTCTGAATATACTTTTCTACACTGTGCTGCTGCTGTGTACAGTATCTGGACCTTCTTTTCACAGAATCATAGAATGGTTTGGACTGGTCTGGTCCTGTGAATCACTGGTTAACAGAAGCTGAGCTGCAGGAGCATTTCAGCAAGATCACCAGCCACTGAGTCATGGATATTATACACTTGACACAGGACAGCACAGAAGACACTTATAACCTGGCTTTTGCTAAGCTTTTATTTGTTTTGTAACTGTCTCAGACACAAGCCCAATATACTCACCTTAAACTGCATGTGACAACATTGAGTGACCACTGCCATCTCATTTGCCTGTTCACCAACGTAAACCCACAGAAGCCCAAAGTTCTCAGGTGCCGTCATATTCCTCCTCTACTTCAACCACTTAATTTTGCACATTTCTTTTCTGGCTTTGATTTTTTCTTACTGGGGATTTTGCTGCTTAGAATAAAAGAGCTGTTCTCCTAGAAACATAAGACAAAGGGATACACAAGACTAGTTCTGAGATACTTAAAAGATAATATTTTGGTAGTAACTTTGCAAACTTTTAAGAACTCTTCAGAGAATTCTGGATCTCCTAAACATTCCAGCATTATTTCAAAGAGGAGAGAGTGTGGGCTCTCAAAGCAACTTCCTTACGGATTAACAAATCCAAGATTCACAGGTTTCCCACAGTTAACTCTGGATCCAAGATCAAGATTTAAGTACTCAAAGCATCATCTACTAATTCTTTAACCTCTGAAGAAAAACATTAGGCAGTTTCTGAAATGAAAGAATATTTACTCACCACTATTCTGACATCATGGTCTTCTTGATTATCAGAATTCAAGCTGTCATCATTATCACTGAAATAAAAATTCAAATCAAGCTCTGGACTTTTACAGTTAGCTCTGGACTAAAAAAAACTGTCAACTATTTTCCTACTACAACCCCTCTATTAAGAGAAACCTCCTAATGTGTATGGCAATGCTACAGCTTATCGATGTACAATACTACTACTTCTACATAAGACTGCTTTCAAATGATGGTTTCTACAGCAGAATTGCAGCCTCACAAACAGCACTGGCAGGACAGCAGCAGAATAAAGATTCAGTGACAGACATGAACAGTAGTATAGAGATATTTAGGACTGCACAGGCAAACAGACTAGGATGTCAACAAGCCAGAAAACAAGCAAAATACAACCAGGAAAACAAGGGGATGGTACTCAGCTAACAACATTACACAGCTTTCTTAATGATACTGTTATGATATTTCTTAACAGTATCTCCATACTGCCATGAAACAAGATTAAATTCCACTATCATGCACAAGTTTCTCCCAACATTGAGATAAAATCATTTTGCACAATGGCTTCAACAAGTGGCACAGGAAGGACTGGTTCACTAGTACTCATCTCATGTAAAGAGTTCAGCGTCCAGATGAGCTCATTTGCATTTATTCTACAGAACTTTGCTACTTCTGGAGGTTGTACTGAGGTGGGAGGTGGTCTTTTCTCACAACAGCAGTAGAACAAAAGGAAACTACCTCAAGCTGCACCAGGGGAGGTTTAGATAGGATATTAGGAAATATTTCTTCATCAAAAGGGTGATCAGGCATTTGAAGAGGCTGCCCATCATCCCCAAAATATTAAAAAAACACATAGATGAGGCCCTCAGTGACACGGTTTAGCAGTGGTCTTGGCAGTGATGGGGTAATGGCTGGACTTCATGATTTTAAAGGTCTTTTCCAACCTAGTTGATTCCATGATAAAGGACAGGATAGTAGGAACTGAATTTGATATACCTATAACTGTCCCAACATCATATGCTACTGCAAGCAACTGTACTACCTCCTGAATTCCTCAACTGTGCTAAGTAGTTGGTTGTAATGGCTTGCCTAGGACAGAGCTAGCTTCAGGATGCTGTTCTTGAGATAACACAACTAAAAGCAGAACTGATGTCCTCCCCACACCACTGAACAGGGGGTAGACCAAGAGCAAGGGGGGGCTGGGCTGGAGTGTCATGCACCTATATTAAAGTATAAAACCCCAGAAGTCTTATACCACCTAAAAATATAAAGCTAAACTTACTTTGTCTCCTGAATAGGGGAAATTGGGCCTTCGTCATCCAAGTATTTGTGTTTTCGTTCCATCATACATTCTCTTTCCAAGTCTTCACTAGCCTGAAGATCTTTTAAAGCTTTTTTAAGATGTTCTTCATATTTAAGCATTTCAATGTACCGGAAATATCCCTTTAGAGCTGCTTGCTGAAGAAAAAAAAGTAGCAAACACATCAGGCGAGATATTACCTGGTCTAGTGGAAGGTGTCCCTGCTCATGGCAGGGGGTTGGAACTACATGAACTTAAGGTCCTTTCCAACCCAAACCGGTCTATGTCTGACTGCCAATTTAACCTTGCTATTTTTAGAGTAAAGAAATAAATAATACATCTATCCCCCAAAATAAGAGGACTCACCTCATAGCCAAGAACCATCTTCAGGGGAGTATGTTTCTTCCCATAATATTTTTTAAAAAAAGGGAACTGAGCACCTCTGTGTAGAAGCCTTCTCCTTCGCTCCTCAGGGGAGGCAGTCAGTGCTGGCCTCCCCACAGGCATCTGTGTGCTCACATATTTTGACTTCTTCCTCTTCTTCTCTGGGCCACACATGTATTTTTGGCGTGCAGCAGTCTTAAACTTTTTCCGCCGGAAGTGATAGTCAAAAATGGCTTTCAAATCGTATTTTGACTTGTGCCTCTTTGGAATTTCTGATGGTTTTGGTGGACTTGGAGGGGACAGAGAAGAATCTGAGGAGTTTTCATTGTCAGGCACTCCTGTAACAGCTTCAGCTTGTTGCCCTGAAGACTCAGATTTCCTTTTTTGCTTTGCAGGGGCAGTGGAACATTTGGGATGGTACCCACTGCCACCAGCAACAGAGACGTCACTGAGAACAAGAAAAAATACTTAGTTTCAATACAATATAAACTTTTGTGATATATGACACAGGTTCTTCACATGAAAAATTCTAGAGATAAAAACTCACATTTCTGAATCACTGCTGTCCAGCAAAACCTCAGGTGAAGCAGCTGACGATTTACATATGTTAAGCTCATCTGAAGATTCATCAGAAGCAGCATTCCTTTGCCTTGAACACTCCATCTGTGTATTTGTTTCCCATGCATGTATTTTATGAGGTTTTACCTGCCGACTGCTGATTAGCTCTTGGTCATCAGGGCAATCAGTGCTAGAAGCCTGGGATCCATCTGTATCAGTCATGTTTCTGTTTGCCCTAAAAAACAATTCAAGACATTAAAGAGCAGCATTCCCACAACATTCTCCTGGAGAAACTGGCTGCCTACAGCTTGGATGGGTGCATTCTTACCTGGTTAAAAAACCTGGCTGGATGGCTGAGCCCATAGAGTGGTGGTGAACAAGAGTTAAACCCAGCTGGCAGCAGGTGACAGGGCTGCTCCCCAGGGCTCAGTTCCAGGGCCAGTTCTGTTTAATATCTTTATCAATTATTTGGATAAGGGGATTTAGTGCACCCTCAGTAAGTCAGCAGGCAACACCAAGTTGGGTGGGAGTGCTGATTCACTGGAGGGTAGGAAGGCTCTGCAGAGGGATCTGTAAAGGCTGGATCAATGGGCCAAGGCCAACAGTATAAAGTTTAACAAGGCTCACTGCTGGGTCCTGCACTTGGGCCTCAGCAATCCATGCAATGCTACAGTGGCTGAAAGGCTGCTTGGTAGAAAAGGACCTGGGATGTTTTCAACAGCAGCTGAACATGAGCCAGCTTGTGCCCAGGTGGCCAAAACGGTCGAAAGCATCCTGGCCTGTATCAGATGGTGGCCAACAGGGCCCAGGGCAAGGACTGTCCCCTTCTACTCAGCACTGGTGAGGCCGCACCTAGAATGTTCAGTTCTGGGCCCCTCATCACAAGATACCCAGTTGCTAGAGCAAGTCCCATGAAGGGCATCAAAAGTGCTGAAGGGCAGAGCACAAGTCCTGTGAGGAATGGCTGAAGGAACTGGGGTTGTTTAGCCTGAAGAAAAGAAAGCTCTGGGGAGCTCCTATTGCTCCCTTCAGCTATCTGAAAGCAGGTTGTAGCAAGGCGCGGGACAGTCTCTTCTGCCAAACAAGTGATAGGACAAGAGGCAATGCCTCGAGTTGCACCAGGGGAGGTTAAGTTTGGATACTGGGAAAAATCCACTGGCACAGGCTGCCCAAGGAACTGATGTATTCACCACCACGGAAGTAGTCAAGACATGTAGGTGGGGCATTTAAGGCCATGGTTCAGTGGCGCACTTCGTAGCGCTGTTTGTGCATGGCAGTAGTTAACAAGACCTTAAAGGTCTTTTCCTAGCTAAACAGACTGCAGACAGCACTGGTTCACCCAAAGCCTGACAAACCCAACACCGAGCAATGTAACAGCCTAACATCAAAGCAGGTACATGAGCAGCAACAGCACTCTAGCTACGCAGACTGCGGCTGGTACTTACAGTCAGCAGCTCAGTATCATCCACCACCTTTATTACAGCTCTGTTCTTAACATCTAGCACCATACAGTCCCTTCGTAAAGAAGCACAACATATAACTGCCTATTTTAAACGTCTCTCAAAAGAGCAACGATCACTTCTCCAGCACCTCAGGCTAACAAACCGCTCCCTTTCCCCCACCCCGCACACCGCGACTGCCCTCAGCACTCTGAGGCCGCCACCACGGCAGGCATTCTGTTCACGAGCACCCGCCGGGTTACCACAGGGCACGGACATCCGCACCCCTCACCGACGGCCGCTACACTGCCCACTCCCGGGGGTACCCCAACCGCGGAAGGCCGCACCCGGCCCGGCCCCGCAAACGAAGCAGTCGGCGAGGGTGCACGACTCAATAGCATCGCTGCCACTCTTCGCCTTCACCCACAGCACCCGTTCCCGTCGCCCCAGCGCCGCGGATGGCGGCGGATGATGAGCAACCCCCCCGCTTCCCCCTCTCACCTCACGTCTCGCCGCCACAGAGAGCGCGAAATGGCCGCGCGAGAGCTTAAATAGCGCCGGGCTCTCGCGAGAGCCGCGCGGGCTGGCGGGAGGAAGGGGATGGAGTGAGGTTGCCGCCATGTTGGGGGTGGCGGGTGGGGCGGTCCCCGCTCGGGGCGGGCAGAGGCACGGAGCAGCTGTGGCGGCGGGGCAGGTACGTGCGGCCGGGTGCGGGGCTGGGGATCCTCGGGCATTGCTTTTGCAGGCTCGAGCGGTGTGGGGCGGCTCTGGCCATCTCCCCCTTCAGCCGCTCCCCGCCTGGCCCAGGGGGGTCCCGGCTTTCCTTCAGTTCCCGCCCTCCCCGCTCAGTGCGGGACCGCTGCACGGGTCCGCTTCTCCTTACTGCTGCGTTCCCTCGCTCCAGCGCTCCGTGCTTGCCCCTGGCTGCCCTGGCGCCCTCCCCAGGGACCCCGGTCTCGCCTGTTCTTGCCCTTTCCCGGATCCCAGCCTCTTGAGCTGATGCCCCGGCTGTCCTGCCGCGAGCGGGATCTCCTCCCGTCGCTCCAGCTGAGGAACGCAACCTCCGCGGCTGCATCTGTGCGTGTTTTGCTCTTGGTGGCATCGCTAATTCTGTCTTCTCTCACTGACTGTCATTTTGCAGTTTTCCTCTCCTCGTTGTTTCCCTTCCCATTTTGACTCATCTCCAGTTTGAACATAACTCTTCCTTTCTGCCTTCTACCCTCCAAACTAGTTTTAATACAGGTTTTCATACCCTTTCCCGCCTTAGTATCATGGTTCCCGTTTCATCTGCACTCTCCCTGCCCTTGATTACTCTTTGATGTCTTCTTCCGTCCTCAAAAAGACAGACTTTTGAAGCCTTTTTAGATGCTTTTCCTCTCCATTCTTGTTGCGCCATCCCAGATCTAATAATCTTACTGTCCCTTTACTATTTGTGCTGTGTCTTTGAAAGCCTTCTGTAGTAATTCAGTGTCACTCCACCCCTCCAAGGTGGATCCTAACTGTTGTCTCCTTTCAGGTTATCTGTCTCCCACACCACACAAACTCCCTTGTGAATACTTGCTTGGGTGGATGCACTTCTATTCTGTGTCCTTCCCCGTAAGGACTAATGTCTAGCAGTCAGATCAGGTTTATTATGGTACTTCAAGCTTTTCCCACAGGCTTTCCCTCCTTTCTTGATTGTGGTGAACTGACTACTGTCCTTTAAACAGCAGGTGATGGTCTAGGTGTTGTATCTGAGCCTACCTATGTGAACTGTGTCCAGGTCTTGCCTCTGCCTTTTGTACCACAGCAGTTCTAGCCTGTTTTCTTAGTCTGAGACTTTTTCAACCAGTTACCTTGTCACCTCCTTTCTCTGACTAACTGCTCTCTTTCTTGTGTTCTTGAGTGCACACTGCAAGTCTTGCAGTAGGGTTCGCTCCACCTGATGGTAGGCTTCTACCAGAGGCACCAATCCAGCCTGTTACATTCTCCTCCACAGCCAGAGAAGGGTGGTACCGGTGGAGATGGATAAGACCAACTAAGATGAGAATTACTATACACAGGTAGTTGTGTTTCTCCCTTTATCTGCTGCTTGCTACAGCAGTAACTGGGGTGGCTGAACTTAGCGTTTAAAGACTTAATGTAAGTGACTGCTCTGATCTCCCACCTCTATTTCTTTTTTTTTCAGCAGGTTTTTTTTTTTCCCTTATGCAGACTTGAGAGGCCAGTGGTGTAAGGAAAGTTACGATTTTTGACAGTCATAACATAGAAGCATAAAATAGTTAGGGTTGGAAAGGACCTCAAGATCATCTAGTTCCAACCCCCCCTGCCATGGGGAGGGACACCTCACACTAAACCATGTCACCCAAGGCTCTGTCCAACATAGCCTTGAACACCACCAGGGATGGAGCATTCACAACTTCTTTGGGCAACCTGTTCCCATGCCTCAGCACCCTCACAGTAAAGAACTTCTTCCTTATACCTCACCTAAGTAGGACTTCTTTTAAAATAGAAGCTAAAAGTACACAGGAACATCCTTCTCTATCACAGCCCTTTCTAAGAAAATCTCTGTCAGGTCTGGGATTGTAATTGAGGTTTTGGCTTTTTCCTCCAGGGCCTGAAGTCTGGATAAGTGGGACTCATTTTATTTTTATGTTGTGTGCAGCAAGCGTATGGCTAAGGAGTTAATGATTGCTGTGGCTGGGTTATAGGTAGTGTATAATCAGCTGTTCTGCCCTAAGCTAGTGGTTGGCCCTACTAGCTGACTTTGCTGCTCCAAGGCTGACTGTAATATAGTTCATTTGTAAAGAGGTTCCTAAAGTTATATTCAAACAAAACTTTTCGTTGCAGGCTCTGTAGCTGATACTGCAGGTCTTGCTGCTGTTGTTTTCTATTTTGCTACTAGCCTGTTCCCTTCTGAAGGGGGAACCACATGGCTAGAATCAATTGGGGATGATGGCAGAGTTAAGGTTGAAAGTTCACTATAGCCAGTGCTGGAAAAGTAAACATTAACTTAGGGAAGACCTGAGGAGGCAGCCACTGTGCTCAAAGAAGCCCAGTTTTCTTTCAAAACCAACCTGGCTCTCTGCTTGCAAAAGACACAGATGAATCTGACCTGTCTTCGTGAACTGGATTCAACATAAGGTGTGTTTTGCCTACACCCACTTGTAAGCTTGAGGGCTAGCATGTGTAATGCTCTGAGACAGCTATAGAGCTGACAGACACCTCTTCTTCCAAAGCATGTAAGAAAATTAACATTAATATTGAAGCTGTTAGTCTTTGCTTTGATGGCAGAACTGCAATTCTACTGTTGTCTATTCTTGTGTGAAATTGAAAAGTATAACATTGAAAACAGCCTGTTTTAATCTTTAAACTATTATCCTTGTTGCAGATCAGCCTCTCCTGCAGGGTGGTAGATTGTAATTACTTTTCTGAAGAAATCAGCACCCATTAGGAAATGGCCAAAGTCGAAAGGTTTGCTTTTCATGTTCCAAGTCTGGAGGAGCTTGCGGGGGGTAAGTCATGCAGCGTGTAACTTTTAACAGCATTTAAGGTACTCTTCAAACTTAATCTTAAAGCTCTTATCACCTCTTAAAGCTCTTAAAACCTCTCCACAGCGTGCAGGACATGCAGAATATTCCTGCTCTTACATACTGAGATGTAAAAAGCACTATGTTTGTATATGCTATTATTTCCTTAAAGCAAACATTGACTCTTCCCCGAGCCCCAAATGATATTCAAGCACACAAACAGCCTTTCAAACCCCTTAAAACTGTCCATGTATTTGCAGATTTGGGAAAGTTTAACAGTTACAGATTGAACTCCTTTACTCGTATGGGATCATCTGCCCTCCTCTACCCTTCTGTATTTCTTTTTCAGGACTACCCAAAATGCAGCTGATGATGCAGTATAGCACAGCAGGTCCTCTTGCTTGAACCTAGTTCACTCCTCTCTTGTAGATTGCCTTAGAACCGGGCTGCAGGAAACATTTTGTTCAGTTTTTCTTTCCAAAACCACCTCAAAATGTGCTCAGAATAACAGAATGGTTGAGGTTGGAAGGGATCTCTGGAGGTGACTTGGTCCAACATACCTGCTCATGAACTTCTTTCCTTGCCCTAGTTATAAAGGCATTGTCCCTCTAGAAGTCTGTCTCCTGCAGCAGATGTACAAAAGGATTTGTTTCTATCAGGATTGGTCCTCAAGTTCAGTGTGCCACTCTCCCAGCTCCGTGTCAGGTTGACATTTCCATGCTTTGAGGAAGTGTGGTCCCAGCAGTACCCTGTGTGGTTCTCAGTGCTTTTCTCACCCAGCAGCAATCAGGCTGGGCCAATAAGCCAAGGTTGCTATAGACCTGTTGGGTCTGCAGAGAACAGCAGGTACTTGCAGTAGAACAGCTTAAAACAGTAGTAGGAAAAAATGAGTTACCAAGTAGAATTTTCCTTTTTCTCCCTGAGTTTGTCCTGAGACCTCCTGTAAGCTGTGACTTTTGTTGCTGTCCAGCTCTTGAGGAGCATTTGAGGAGTGACTGCCCTTTTATTGTCCTTTTCCAATTGCCATAAGGTTGTGAAGTGTATTTGAGAGACCTGTCAAGTACCTTCTACTGACCCTTGTGGTCAACAGCTTGGTAAATCTGCTCCCAAGAGGTAAAGTATGGCTGAAATCCTGATTAGAGAAAACAAAATCACAGGAGAGTCCTGAGTAAATAAGGAACTGCCTGATTTGAGACAACAGACTGGATTTTCTGTTCAAGACATCTGTCAAAGCAGACCCCCAGGCATGAAAGAACTCAGACCTTTTGACATGTTATTTGAAGCAGTGGATGTGAAGGCATTTACACACTCAGTTAAGGTTTGGAAGTTGTTTCCAAAGAGTGCACTTGTGTAAGTCAGAATCCTCCTTGTTGCTTGAGTGACTTTGCAGGTTCTGAGCCTAAAAACATTGATATGAAACAAAACCAAAAGTTCGGATTTGAAGCTGTTCATTATCATCAGCACCATTCGTTATCTGTCTTAACCAGACAGTGGCACTTGCCAGAAAAATCTCCACGTGAATGTAAATGTGACAGACCCATGACAGCAGAAGTTTCCAGAGAGCAGAGACAGCCTGAGATTATAATCAAGCTATTGCAAACAGTCTAGTTAGTATATTTAAAGAACTGATTGTCACTTCAGCTAAAACTT